ATATGTGATTCACGCAAATATGTTACAATTTTGATGTAAAACAAGAAATAAAAAGTTTGAAAAAAAAACTCTGATAACCTAAATTAAGAATAGTGCTGTATGAACGGGTTAATTCATGTACGTAATTCTGAGAGCGAACTGCGTTGTTCGAATGCCCGTCAGAACATGGCATTATTTACATTGTTCCGATTACAAAATTTCATGATTTAGAGTTAAGAGTAAAAGTGGCATTTACAATTAAATTAAAAATTTCCCCTTAACTGTCAAAAACTATATATAGAATAAATAGCAAACATATACAAGTCTATAACGGCAATCTGAAAACTAATCTGAAAAATCTGAAAACAATTTCTTTAAAAATGAAATATACCTATAACTGAGCGGAAACCACTAAAATTCTATGTCAAATCTAAAATTTTTCGAGTTATTTTGTTTTTGCAAAATAGTCAGGCTTAATCCCAATTTGTTGTTTTTATAAAAAAACAACTATTTATTAGTGGGGAATGTATGGCATTGTCCGCCGAGGGGTAAGGCAGGGAAGACTATAGTTTCGGTTCTCGCCACTGATCCTCATCAGTTCCCTTAGTTTTTTGTTGAGATATTCTCCCCAGAAGCTATTAATAGCTTCTTTACAAAAAACCTTTCAAACCCAAATGTCTCTTGTGACAATTCGAAGTTCTTACGTTACCAGCGATACGACCCCAATGAGAAGTTCGTTTTGTTGGCGCCTGACTTCGTGGTGAACAAGGCATTTACAGACAACTACAATACATTTCCCACTGCTATGTGTCGTCGCTTTGTGACGAATGCACATAACGTTGGGATTAAGCCTGATTATTTTGCAAAAACAAAATACAAATGGTATCCCAAATAACCCGTCAACACTACTGAATTTTTCGAGTTATATATATTTCAATATAAAACTCAAAAGGACAGTTGGACATGAACAAAATGATATTGTAATTAAGAATCCTTTAAGAAGGGCCAATAAGATAATGTAAAAACATTTGTTGAGGGATAATCCAAATCAGATGAATCAATAACAACCTCTATTCAACACACGGACGTGTTGTTGTTTGTGTATTGTTTTTTAGGTGAGAGAGGTCGCCGACGATCAGAATCTTTGTGGCTAGAATACCCTGCACCACATTGGGTACCGAGTAGTATGTCCTTGAACAGATTAAGGTAACAGGAAAGGAGATAAACCTAGATTGACTGTTGAGGATATACATAGAATTGCGTTGAGTATTCATTAGTGCACGTCCGTCCGTCAGTATGTTCAAAATATATTGTAAACAAAACACAGTGAGAATCTGAATTGGTGTACATGAGGCGCCAAGTGCACACATCGATTAACTCCCTAAAATGAAAAGTTGAAAAGGGGATGGAACTGTTTTTCCAATCTATTTATAATAAGAATTCAATTCAGCGTGATGTAGAATGTACAAAGACGTAGGAAAGTTATTTCGAATAAATGGTTGCAACTACTTCCATTTAAATTTAAGTTTTTTTTTTTTTGAGTAATGGGGGTTTTCGATGGTGCACTGAACGCCACGTAAATTATCTAGTCTGCCGAAATAAGAATATGTTTTAGTGGACTTTGTATATGTCTTACTCGTTCCATTTTGCTTAGGCTGAACTCCTAGTAACAATTTGAGTGACACCGCCAATACCAGGAGACGACGTCCACCGTGCCATAAGTGTGATGTTGGTCTTTTCCTTGTGTGGGTTTTCGCCAATTCTGTTTTATACATATGTAAAATTGCCCAGTTGTGTTTTGCTAAATTATTTGACATGACATCGACGGTACCAAGAGACGATGTGAATCATATGGATGTGGGACGCGATAGTATGGATGTGGGAGTAGGATAGTGCGATTATAGGATCGCACATAAGAGCGCATTTTAGGAGTAATGTTGTGAGCGCAAAGTGTGTGAAAACGTAAAATTTCAAGGACGGTCGTACAGCGAACTCGGACCGTTGGTCAATCATGATCAAATTGTTGGTGGAAGAGAGATTTCAAACGGGTACTGAAGAGCGTTAAAAGTAGGCATATTAATTATACAGAAATTAATTTTAATACGGTTTGTAACATTCATACGGTGCCGAGTTGTGAAGTGTGTCTAGACACTAAAGGTGGCAGGAAGGAAAACAGAAAAATTTGTTGTTCCCATAGACGGCTGTGAGGAGAAATATTTAAGTCAAGTGAAAGTTTAAAAACTGCAAAATACAATCCAAAAATAGAACTAGCCTCCACATGGAGGCTGTAAGGAGACAAAAATTTAATACCCAGCTAAGTGTAGCATACTAGTAGGAGCCATATGAAATTTTGCGATTTGATGTTTGTGTGTATATGTGATTTTGTTGAATAAATGTGTTGTCGTTCATAATTTATGTGTTTATTATAAGTGTTTAGGCTAGGTAATTATTATATTTAAGTGTTATTCAAATTTTATACAACACAATTATTATCGGATGTAAGGGATTTATCCTCTGCCAATAATTAGTCCCTAGAATTTCCCCCCTGTTGGAGCTCTGATAGGTAGGTTTTCTAAAGTATGACTAAAACAAAAAAAGGAAAGGATAGATCCTATTTTTTATCCTGTTTGTTTAGATATAGAAAAAATATTTAATGAAACTAATTTTGAATTCTTTTTTTTTAATTTGTATGCGATTTTATAATAGCAAGTAAGTAATATAAAAAAGAAGAAATATATATTTAATAGTTTAGGGAAAGATTATGATACTAATGTATGAGTGAAAATATGTAATAAATATTTACTGTGTTGAAGCCAAAATGATGGTGTAGATTGTCTTGTATGGAAGGAGAGAGAGGATATGTGATTGGGATTAAACCAGTGATGTAGGGTCACGAGGAGTTGGTGTCTACCACTGCGGGGTTCCTGAAGTTAAGGAACAATATAGTTGGGAGGGTGTATTTTATGGGGTATATATTTACACCTGAAGGTCCTAGACCCGAGAAGTTGATAGTATGTTCAAGAGGAGTGGTTGACCTTTAAATTGATACCAATTATATTGTCGTATGTACTCGAATGCGGGACTTACACATAAATATTTACAGGTACTTACTTATTCATATATTACAGTATTTTTCGGTTAATTGACCCTACGATTGGTTTCCACGCTTAATTGAACCACATGATGGGGCAAACAATATTTCATAGGAAAATACATTTAAATTTTCTCGGATAATTAAACCCTATTAATTGATTTTCCCGCCTTATTGGTTCAAAATTCATGTCATCAAAAATAAATTTCCTTTTACTTTTCACCGGTTAATTGCACAATAATAATTGACAAATAATCTGTCATGTTTTACATACATATTTGACATAATTTAATTCAAAACATATGTTTATTGCTAAGGGAAAACTGCGAGAAAGCGTAATTTGTATTTGACATTGGATTTTTTTAAACCATTAGTAGTTCCAATTATACGTGATTACTATAATTGAACAAACTATTCAATTAAGCGGGTTCGGATAATTGGTTCCTCGGTTAATTGAACAATTTGTGCAAATTTTGATGTGCAACTAACCGAAAAATACTGTATTTAGTAACCCATTACAACACTAGAGGGCGGAAATATAGCGCAGATCGCTTTGAAATTTTCAATGAGGTTCAAGTTATGGTCACCGACAACGCCTATAATTTTCGGTGATGATCAGATAATAATTTTGGGATGAAGTGGACCGAAAACGTATTTCTTGGTGTTTTTTTCGAGTCGACCTATAGGCCAAAATTGGAAGCCGAACATCACAACACAACCCACGGTGAAGGGAATCTGGACAAGTGATTAGAAGGGCTGTACTGAATATTTGAAGGGCTGTACTGAATATTTGTAATATTTGTTGACCTCTAGTCGGTCAAATATTGCCCAAGCTCAGAATATAGAACCACAGAAAGTTATAGTTTCGTGGAAGTTGTGTAGGGTATCATATGATCTTCCCCGTCCGACTATGCTGCTCCGCTCACTGGTTGTATCTAGCTTTATTGTTTAAATAAATTGTATTTTTTTAAGACATATGGTTTTTGCGTTAGTTAGATCAAAATTTTTAATTTCATAAAAAATGTGTATGTTTTAATACTAATAATGCGAAAATTAACATCATCGAAAATAATGGTAATAATAGCATTATTAGTATTCCCGTCATATATTTGATGTTTTGTCTTATTTTCTTCAGAGCCCAAGCTGTTGGATATGAAATCTCATGTTCATATTTGTCAAAAAAGTGTATTATTTTTTTTAAAAAAGTTCCTTTTTTTGCCGTCAACTTGAAGTTTGGATGTGGCCCTATGTAACCTTAAACAACAACTTATTCAAGTGTTAAATTGAAATCAAGTTGTTAAACAATGTGAGGATATAACAAATCCGACTACAAAATTTCATGATTTAGAGTTAAGAGTAAAACTGGCATTTACAATTAAATTTAAAATTTCACCTTAACTGTCAAAAACTATATATATATAGAATAAATAGCAAACATATACAAATCTATAACGGCAATCTGAAAAATCTGAAAACAATTTCTTTAAAAATGAAATATACTTATAACTGAGCGGAAACCACTAAAATTCTATGTCAAATCTAAAAAAAATCTAATTAAGAATCCTTTAAGAAGGGACAAATAAGATAATGTAAAAACATTGGAACAATAACCCAACATGATCATCTATTGAAAAAACATTTGTGCTTGGGCCTGCATTGGGGTACCCGTTAATACTTTTTATTGACATAAACTTAGTGGCAAATGTTTTTTACCAACCTTATATTTATGCAATATTGATAAGGCAAAACAACGTTTGCCGGGTCAGCTAGTATTTTATAATTCTTTTGACTATGCTCACTGTGCAATATTTAGTAATAAAAACCATTTATGCCACAACATACGCGCTTATTGTATTATATAGCCGTTTTAATTATTAGCCAATTGTATCACGATTTTAAATTGATATATATCCAAACTTTTTATTTGCAGATATCAGCCATGGATCTGGATTCTGGACCGAATGCACTACTAAATTATTCAATTGAAAATATAAGTGACAGATGGCAGAATAATATAATGTTAAGAAATAATGGAGAAATAGTTATATTAACATCGTTGGCAAATTCGACTAACACGCTAATACAATTTTTTGTGCGAGTAATTGACAATGGCATTCCAGAAAAAAAAAGCAATTTAATTCCAGTATCACTACAAATTGTTTCCTCTAGTATAACTATACCCACATTTGAAAATACTAGAATGAATATAAACGTCGATGAAACCCTGGCACCTGAATCTATTTTGGCCAGACTTAAAGTTACTGGAAATTATTCTGTAAAATTCTCCCTAGCATCAGAACCTTCTAAATTTTCTGTAACGGAAAATGGGGATGTTATTTTGATACAATCTTTAGACAGAGAGCTTTGTGCTTTAGAGCGTATTACTGCTATGGTGGAAACTGTCACACAGCCTATTTTATATGCGTATATTGATATATATTTTATCATTCAAGATGATAACGATAATTTTCCAAAATTTTCGAATATGGCATACACAATGGAAGTCCCAGAAAATAACGAAAAAGGGTCATCAATAATGAAAGTAACAGCATATGATACAGATGAAGGTCCCAATGGAGATATTCGCTACTATTTCGAAGATGAGGTGTACAACAAAATTTTCGAAATAGATATTCACTCCGGGTGGATAACGCAACTTGCTACGTTAGACAGAGAATTGCAAACGGAATATTATTTTAATGTATTGGCAAGTGATAATGGCCAGCCTAAACAAATATCTAAAATTCCGGTTTCTATAACCGTTAGAGATTATAATGACAATCCACCTTTGTTTAAACAAAATTATCAAACATTTTCTGTGTCAGAAAACGCATTACCTGGCACGGTTCTAAATCAACTGCTGATTACCGATCTTGACGTAGAAAGAAATAGTTTGCAGTTTTTCATCATTTCGGGTGACGATAAATCTCAATTTCAAATAGTAGACACGGGCGAACTTTTTGTGTCCAAAGAACTTGATAGGGAATCAACTCCATCTTATAACATAAGTGTGGCTGTTACAGACGGCAAATTTGTTTCGTACACCAATGTTTCAATAAATATTGTTGATATTAACGACAACTTTCCTATATGTATGACACCTAAATATGAAATAGTCATACCTGAATCAACACCAGTGGATGCTTCTATTGTCAAAATAAATGCAATAGATTATGACGACATTGAGAACAGCAAAATACGATATTATATTACAGGAAATAATTCAGACGATTTTTATGTCGATAAAGATCAGGGAGTACTCAGAGTTGCACAGTCAATCGATCGAGAAAGAATATCCAAGTATTTTCTACTTATTCATGTACAAGATGGAAAAGAACTTTCGCAAGAATGTGTTTGTGAAGCAATAATCACAGTTAGTGATGTAAATGACAATCGGCCGATTTTTTCAATGCATCAGTATATATTGAGTATTCCAGAAGATGCACAAACTGGAACAATTGTGACAAAAATGCATGCCATAGATAAAGACTTTGGTCCAAATAGAAAAATAATTTACTCATTTGTGAACGAGACGGAATACTTTGAAATAAATCCCTCAAGTGGTATATTAAAACTTAAAAAGACTTTGGATCGAGAAAGCATTTCAATTTTCAATTTATCCGTTAAAGCTGAAGATAGCGGAAGTAAAAAAATGCAATCAACGCAAAATATTATTATTAATGTCCTTGATATTAATGATAACCCGCCAGAATTTCAGCTCAAGCTATATAAAGCATATCTGTGGGAAAATACAACAGTACAAACTGAGGTAATTCAAGTCTATGCAACTTCAAAAGACATTGGCATAAATGCGAAAATATCCTACTTTATTATTGGAGGAAATGAGCAACAGAAATTTAAAATTGATCGCACCAGCGGTATTATTTTCCTTAATATGGAAATAGACTACGAAATGACAAAATCATTCTTTTTGAATATTCAAGCAATTGACGGTGGTATACCGCCATTAAGTGGTCAAGCTTTTGTGAATATTACTATTTTGGATGTTAACGATAACACACCACATTTCTCTCAAAATCTTTATCGGGTTAAGGTTGGCGAACATGCAAGAAAAGGAGAACAAATTATACAAGTGATTGCAAAGGACGATGATAGTGGCCAAAATGGTATCGTTGAATACAATATTGAGAGGGGCGATCGCTTGAAGCATTTTTCAATAGATGACTTCTCTGGACATATTTATGTCAATCAAAATTTGGACAGAGAGGAAATTTCATCCTATATTCTAGAGGTGAGAGCGTGTGATAAAGGATTGCCACGACTATGCAGCTTTGTCCAGGTTTTTGTTGACATTTTGGATGAAAATGACAACAGTCCAGTGTTTAAGAATGGCAATAGCACCATTTTGTTACAAGAAAACAAGCCTTTGGGTTACACTGTTACCAAATTTGAAATTTCTGATGCTGACGAGTATCCAAACACAAGTCCATATACATTTGATTTTAAGAGCGGAAATGAAGGGGGATTTTTCCGTTTGGAACAGGATGGAAGTTTGTTAACAGCTTTTCGATTCAATCACAGGATACGTGATCAATACATACTACAAATACGAGTGTTTGACAATGGAATTCCACCACTTTTTTCAGATACTTGGGTCATTGTCAAAATAATTGAAGAAAGCCAATATCCACCAGTTATAACACCCTTGGAAATAACGATAAATTCTTTTGAAGATGATTTTGGTGGTGGTTTTTTGGGTAAGGTTTTCGTATCGGATCAAGATAAATATGATACATTTACGTATAAAATATTACCGAATGTGGGACAATCATACTCTGCCCTAAAGCTCTTTAACATATCAGCTAATACCGGCGATTTATATGCGATAACAAATTTGGACGTAGGCTTGTATACTATCAATGTAAGTGTTTCCGACGGAAAATATATTTCATATACGAGTGTGAGAATCAACGTTGAAATGGTAACCACAGAAATGATAACAAATGCTATCATCATGCGATTTAGTAAAACCACGGCAAAGGATTTTATATTGAGTCACCGAAAAACATTTCTCAGAACAATTCGAGAGGTTCTACGCTGTAGACAAAAAGATATTTTTATTATTGCTCTTAATCAGAACGATATTAACACTTCCAATTATATATCAAAACACTCACCCCATAACGATTCAAAAACAGATCATATATTATCATCGGCTGCTTTAACATTAACTGAATCCAAGTATGTACTAGATGTTGTGTTTGCTGTTAAAAAACAATTGATACTACCCACATCTGACAACTATTATACTACTGATGAAATATTATATAAACTGTCTAGTAGCATTGAAGAAATAGAACTTCGTTCTAATCTACCTATAGAAGATATTTTGTCAAACGAATGTTCGATAAATATTTGTGTCCACGGAAAATGTAAAACTCAACTGCTTATTGCAAAAAATGAAGTAGACACATTTTATACGGATGTGGTTAGTTACGTTACTCCAAAATATAAATTGAGCTACAATTGCGCTTGCAAACAAGGATTTGATGGTAAAAATTGTGATGAACCCGTCAATGCATGTTCATCAGACCCTTGTCCGCCTCAGAAACAGTGTTGGCCAGCCGATACAATTAGTGGATATCAGTGTATTTGCCCATCGGGATTTTCTGGTCAGTATTGTGAAATGCAATCATCAAGATGTCAACACGATAATTGTTCAAACATAGAAACATCAGTTTCTTTTAGTGGAAAAAGCTACGCCCATTATAAAATTAATAAGTCCGCTGCTAGGAGCTTGGTTGAAAGTCAATTTTCGTTTGCCCTCAAGATACGCACAGTACAACAATCGGGAACAATTGTCTACGCCAGTGGTCAGATAGACTACAGCATACTTGAAATTGTGAATGGAGCCGTTCAGTATAGATTTGACCTTGGTTCAGGAGAAGGCATGGTTGTTGTTACTAGCATTAATATTTCTGATGGAGAGTGGCATTCTATAAAACTCGAGCGTATTCTAAACACAGCCAAACTGATTGTTGACAACAAACATTCATCACAGTCTAGTGCCCCTGGCATTAATTCTATACTAAATTTGCAGAAAAATGATATTTTTATCGGCGCCAAGGTACTACCACATCATACAATAGTCGGTTATGAGGATATTCAACGAGGTTTTATTGGTTGTATGGCCGATATTAAAATAGGATATGAAACTTTACCGTTATATATAGTAGCGGGTGGCAATAGTGTTGCAGCTTTAAGGTTTACCAACGTTGAATTCCTTTGCGATCCATCGAAAGTGTTAGTAAATCTTGGCATTTGTGGAGGACAACCGTGCCTAAACGCTGGCATGTGCCATGACCTGGGCGACGATTTCGAATGCATATGTTCAGAACGTTACACAGGAAAATTTTGTGAAGTGGATCTAGACCCATGTGCTTCTATTCCTTGTTTGTATGGTGGTCTTTGCGAAATGCTTGGTCCCAATAATTACTCGTGTACCTGTCCTCCACACTTATCTGGTAAACGTTGCGAATATGGACGATTCTGTACACCTAACCCATGCAAAAACGGTGGCATGTGTGAGGAGGGTGATGGAGTCCCCCACTGTATGTGCAGAGGTTTCACAGGACCAACATGTGAAATTGATGTCGATGAATGCGAAAATCAACCTTGTGGCAGCGGTGCAACTTGCATAAACGAGGCGGGAAGTTTTCGCTGTATATGCCCCTCATATTTAACGGGTGCTAGTTGCGGAGATCCACTTTATTCTAATTCAATTTCAACAAAACTGAAAAACTTTTCTATTGAGAACATAACCGGAATTATTTGTGGTGCTTCGTTTGTGTTCGTCTTATGTACAATAACTCTTTGCTGCATAATATACAAGAAGAATTGTACTTCTAGGAAAACTAGTCCTAATCGCATTAAAAACAGTTACAAAGAAACTACCTTAAATTCGTTGTTGGAGAAGGAGAAAAATAATAAGCACAATATAAAAATTAGTAATCTGGAAATTAATCATCGGCCAATAAGCTATGCTCCAACATCTAATGACAATATGATGTCTTCGAATACACATTTTGTAAATAATTTGGATATTCTCAGAAGTTATGGATCCGCTGGGGACGAACTTGAGAATATACCATTTGAATATCAAAAAATAAGTATTAATAAAGCAAATGTAAATATTAATAACGAAAACATATCAGAGGCAGCAGTGTCAGCCTATAAGACGGATTGGTGTGATCAAACACAGCTGAAGACATTTTGTGAAAATAAACTTAATAATGGTAAGTTCTCTTATTTTTTCATATTTTATATCTAAATTGAGAAACACATCATGAAACAAATAATCAGGCATTGTGGGGTGGTAATAGTTATATCTTGGTGGAATTACATTGATTTAAACAACGTACGCCGTTTTCATTGTTAATAAAATATTGGATATTCATAATTGTAATTGTTTGAATGCTAGCAATATATGTACGTATAAAACCGATTGTATATATTTTAAATCAGGACGACCAAATCTAACTTTTAGAAGGTAAATTGTTCCGTAGAGCCTTGTTGAGAACTTACTGCTGGATGCTACTAGCATTATTTGATTACACTCTGATAATAAGTTATAAGACTGTTACAGCAAATGAACGAGACATAACTATTATATCTAAATGATATTTCGCCAAATACTAATTGAAATATAAAATATATACATAGGATTTCATTTTCAGGACTCCAATGAACAGTTTATTTTCATACATAAATCAAGTAAATCTATAATCAAGTCCAAGACAGTTTTAGTCCTTGCCCATAGGACAAAGGTGGATTCCGTACACAACAGCATGTGAAAACATAAAAATACAGCCGAGTACGCTTACAACGAACACCGATTATAATGAATTTTTAATAGCGAACACATTTCCTGGTCCCGAAGCTTAAAGACATATTTTTCATACAAATCTTTACTTTTATAGCGAACTACACATATAACGACCTTTTTTTATAACGAACTATTTATTCGTTCCCAACATTTAGTTTTCATATATTTTAATTTGGTTATAACGAACTTCCTACAAATTTACGTAGTACTGACGATGACAATCCTCACAAAAGTTAATTTTTACGCTAACGCTTGCAAAATTTACAAAAAATATCAGTTGTGATGTCTTAATGTCTTTCTCAAAAAGGACACAAATCCTATCAATTTCATTTGCATATATATATTTTTTCTGCTAAACCAATGTTTTGCCTTAACTTGGATTAACGATCTAATTTGCTTGGTCCTTATTAGTTCGCTATAACCGTACTCGACTGTATAATACATTAATAATTGTTATGTTAAAGACTTGTAACGTCCCATACATGTTTTACAAGACTTAAAGAAGAAAGAACATAATTTCACAAAATGTTGTTGTTGTTTTTTTCGTATTGAAAGAAAATACCTTCTGTTCGACGGCAGGCATGAATCCAGAAATTCCAAAATTGCGGACCTATAAAATTAGATTTTTGGAAAATTCCCTATTTTTGACCATAAACCACGTTAGAAAATAAGGAAGATCTTGACCGATTACATTTATCCTGGTTTAAGCGATAGCTATGTATGTTCAGAATAACTAGATATGGGTAAATTGGGTAAATATTGGGGCTACCAGAAAAACGTCGAACCCACGTGTTTATTGTAAAACGTGTAAATCGATTTAATAACAGAAATCCAGAAATAGGGTGAAAGATGTTGTATTACCGATTCACTATATTAAATACCCGGTAAATACTATCTCAAAGAATAACGTAATACAATTTGGAATGGATTAGATTAGATCTCGGGCCGCCCCCCTGCGTACGTCCCTGTATGATACCTAAAATACCGATATTTTTAAAACTCGTTGACGTTCAAATAAAAAGATTTCAACATATTTCCACATATTCAATTTCAGTTGCATATGTTTTGAGCAGCACTGTGGATCATTTGTAAACATGTTAAATTCGTTTAATAAAAATTGTTTATAAAAATATAAATAATATTATTTTTAGAAAAAAAAAATATTTATTATGTCATCAGTATTTATATGTAGTAAATTTTCATCACAGAATTGTAAAATTCGATTTTTATTAGGCGTAGCTGTAACATCTCGCTTTCTTGAGTACACCCTCTTCTAACTACTAATCTGGACCTTGTCTATGCATATGATCACATACATTTAGTACTTTATAAGATAAATACTATAAGACAAACTATTGACGAGGAGTTCTGGAAAAAAACTTAAAACATTATCAAATGTAGTGCCTCAAGAACTGTATTGGATCTGTGGATCACCATGTGGGAAGTAAATGTACCCTGACCATCTAATCCACTATATTATATATTTCTAATAAACACATAACATTGTTTTATATAAAAATCATCTACTAATATTATATTTAAGGAACGTTTTTTCATTATCTTATATGTCCCTTCTTGAAGGATTCTTAATTACAATGACATTTTGTTCATGTCCAACTGTTCTTTTGATTTTTATATTGAAATCAGTATATAACTCGAAAATTTTTAGATTTGGCATAGAAATTTAGTGGTTTTCGCTCAGTTATAGGTATATTTCATTTTTAAATAAATTGTTAATTAGTTTTCAGATTGCCGTTATAGATTTGTATATGTTTGCTATATATTTTATAAATAGTTTTTGACAGTTATGGGAGAAGAGTTTGGCCAATGTTGACGACGTAGACCGTCTTTTAATTGTAAATGCCTATTTTATATCTTAACTCTAAATCGTGAAATGTTGTAACGGGATTTGCTATATTCTCACATTTTTAATAACTTGATTTTAATTTAACATTTGAGTAAGTTGCTGTTTAATCCTTTATGGCACAATGTTGCCCACAGGCAACAAAATGTTCTAGAGCTTTTATTTAATACGCGGCAAGTAAATGTATGTATATTTTTGGATTACATATTTTATGAGCTGATTATAGACGACACATATCAAAAATCTAAAAAATGCATTTTTTTGTTGATATTGGACTTTTATTTATCGGAAACAAGGTACCGTATCTCCCGAATGCAACGATGTAGCGACGTCAAATTTTGCTCATATCCTATTTAGGATAGTTACACTAAATCTGTGCATAGGTACCCTTACAATTGCATGTCAATGTTCACTCGAAGGAACATACTCATGTCTTTCTACAACCTATGCTAAATTGAATTTCATTCGGGCAAATTTAGTGTCGTCTGCGTACCATGGGACACATTTATGGAAAACGGTGTATAGTAAAATTGATACATAATATTCTGTACGTCACAAAAATGCGACCTGTACTTTGTTTACAATATAACATGGGCAGACAGACAAATTTCGTGCAAATCTAAAGCTATATGGAGCTTTGGTGTACCATTTACATAAAATCGGACGAAAATATATATGGTAGGTATATCGAATTTTTTCCCCGAAACTTACCACTCATCATTCTAGGCACTCATCATTCTTTTCCCAATTTCAATAGGGGTCGTCCTTGGGCCAAATAAATGAGCTGTGCCAAATTTCATCCAATTCGAATCAAAAATGCGACCTGTACTTTGTTTACAAGTTAACATGGACAGACGGACATGCATAAATCGACTTAAAAAGTGATTCTGTGCATATTCTCAAAAGGAACCATGTGTCTATCTCGTTTCCTTTCGCCTGTTACAAACGTTTGCACAAAGACATAATACCCTATACCACAGTGTGGTGAAGGGTATAAAAATAATACAATTTTGATAAATATGAAAATAGGATTTCATATCCAACAGCTAAAGAAAATAAGACAAAACTTCAAATATCTGACGTGAATAATAATATGTTAATGATCGCATTATTAGTATTAGAACATACATGAACATATAAATTTCAATATACAATAGTTTTTTCTTGGCAATGACAATCCAATTAATTGTAGAAAATTAACATATTTTGAGAATTTTCCATAATTGACAATTACTTTAAGATGTTATACGCTGCCAATTTTCGACCAAAATGTGTCCAAAAAGAACTATGAAGGGATGAAATCATAAAAGTTCGATATAAAACGTGTGGAAATGCTAATATCTTCCAAAATATATTTGCAACATTTTCGCGGATTTTTCTCAAAATTTTCTTTCATTAAAACCTTTCTACTTCAATTACAAACTTTAAGTCAAATCGGTCCAGCCGTTTCTTTAAAATAATTTTTGCAAGATTTTCGCGGATTTTTCTCAAAATTTTCTTTCATAAAAACCTTCCCACTGTAATTACCGACAACTGAAAGAAATTTTGAGTGAAATCGGTCCAGCCGTTCTCAATTGATGCGTTAGTATACATTTTTCTTGCTCCATTTTTATATATATAGATAAAATTGTATTGCTTTCAATTTCCGCTTCAGGGTTTGAACATTTCACTCTGCTAAACCATTGGTGCAGGAATGACCAGGTGCTATCAGCTTTTGAAAAATTCAATTTATTGTCCAATTTCTTTTGAACTGGTCACTTTTGAAAATACTGGCATTTAATGATATTAGATTGTCTTGGCAACCCTGTCGTGAATGTTCACTAATTTTGTGGTGCTCTGTGCTCGTTTAAAAAATATTTAATTTCTAACAATATAATCTGTGTTTTTGTGGTAACGGTGTTTAAAAGTGTTGTGAAATAATTTTTGTGCATTTTGATATAATTGGAAGTGTGAAATATAACATATTTTTTCTAATATTAATTAATCTTTTTAATTCTTATTGGCATTTTGATTCCATTCCCAATTTGTTCCTTTGTTGCATTAGCTTATATTGTTGTTGTAACATTTCTTTTATTTTTATTTTGTTTTGTTATTTTGACATCTCAAAACAGAGTTGCCAAATTGTGTGTTTCATAAGAAATTCAAGGGATAGAAATTCCAGTAAATTCATAAATTATTTAAAAAAAAAATAATAATAATAATTCTTAAGAATGGTTTGTCCTTACGAGTTATGTAATATTTCCGTAGATGATGAGTTGTGTGTCACTTGCTGGTTTTGCCTTAATCAATGGCACGTTAAATGTGCTCGAATTAATGCAAAAGTAGTGGACACAATTAGGGATAATGTTGGTGTCCGCTGGTGCTGTGTCCATTGTCGAAAACTTTCAGCTGACTTTTATAACTTTGTAAAAGACTTGCAGTCGGAGCTTAGTTCGATGAAAAAGGAATTTACATCGTTATCAAAACGATTTGAGAATTTTTCGAATTTGTTCGACAAGTACCAAGAGCTTGATGAATTTGTATCATCACCGTCTGTGTCTGGGCAGAAACGTAAAAGGTCTGCGAAAAAGGCTCCCAATAAAGTCGTGCCTAGTCGCAAACCCACAGTTTCTGTTGGGAATACAGTGCCACAATCACCTTCCGTCAATATCACAGATACAACGGAAACTGATTGTGTCCAGACATATGCTAGTGTTGCGTCACATTCGGCCTCGGAAATCGTTAAGGATGTAAATGAAGTGATTAATCCAAAATCTGTGAGTATAAGTAGTGCTAGTCTGGAAAAGACTTCAAAACCTACTCACGGAAATCGGGAATCATCAGTTCAATCATCTAATGCGTCTTCCGTAGCTGGCATTAGCAATTCCCTCCAACCTGGTCAAAGACCATTATCTATGGCTCCCACCAGGAAAATGGTATTTGTATCTAGGTTTGCACCAGATACCTCGGCTGAGGATATCAATTATTATATAAAATCAAAAATCGATGGAAATTTCTTTCTACGTTGTTATAAGCTCCGGTCTGCTTTCTCAGAAAGTAGATCATCTTTTAAAATCGTAGTAGAAGAAAGTATGTTTCATCGACTAATTTCGAGAGAATTTTGGCCTGCTAATGCATTTGTAAAGGAATTTCTGGAAAGATCTGAAAATTTAGCTCATTTGCCTCAGAGGGCTGAAATATTGCCAAAAAACTAAATATGTTTCTCAATGTTTGCTATCAGAATGTAAGAGGGTTAAACACAAAATTAACTCGATTATTCTCTGATAGCCTTGGGTTTAATTATGATGTTATAGTATTTTCTGAAACTTGGTTAAAACCATCCGTGTTAAATAGTGAAATTTTGTGTTCTAGATATCAAATATTTAGAAAAGATAGAGTTCTTAAAAAAGATGGTGGCGTCCTTATTGCAGTTGATGCCAAATATTCCACTAATTTAATTGAATTAAACTGTTTTGATATCGAATTTATTTGCATATCCATTGAATTAGAAAATTTTAAATTATTTGTGACTTGCTCATACATTCCTCCCTCATCGCAACTTGATATTTATAATCAGCATTTGTTAGCAATAAATTCAATCACTAACAAAATGAATGACTCTGACAAAATATTAGTTCTCGGCGATTTTAATCTGCCGTCCGTAAAGTGGCTTTCATTGCCAGATTCTGAGGCTCTAACACCTTTGACATCTGATGCAAATGTAAACTTATATACCTTTGAAATTGTAAATCGTTTTAGCGACATAAATCTTTATCAAATAAATAGCGTATCAAATTGTTATGATCGAATTCTAGATCTAGCATTTGTGAATTATACACAATATTTTGAAATTATTAGAATACCTCCAGTATGTACTCCCGAAGATAACTACCATCCTACATTATGCATATCCATGATGCATAATAATTTAGCTACCAACAATTCTTTAATATCATTTAAATCTGTTCCTAATTATAATAAAACTGACTTCCGAAAGCTAAACGCACTTATCTCAAACGTAAATTGGAGCACATTATTAATTTGTAAGAGTCATATTGATCTAGAATTATCAGTATATAAATTTTATGATATCCTAAATAAATTTATTCTAGAATGTGTTCCCATTGTTAGAGTTAGAAACTCGGAACGATATCCATGGGTCACATCTGGGCTTTCAAGTATTAAAAATTATAAAAATAAACTTTTTAAAAAATATAAAAAATCAGGCTCCTCTATAGATTATGCTAAATATGCTGTCGCAAGGTCTAAATATACGTCAGAGTCCCGAAAACTTTACAATCTTTATTTAAACAAGATTAAACTTAATTTCAAATCCAATCCTAAATCTTTTTATGACTTTGTTAATATAAAAAGAAAAGCTACGTCAAAGCCCACCATCTTGAAATTCAATAATCAGACATTTGAGAAAAACTCTGAAATTTCAGAGTGCTTTGCAAATTTTTTTCGCTACAACATATTCATATTCACCCTGTCCAAATAAAGATACATATAGTTATAAATTATCGACGATAGATCAAATATCTATGCCTTTTTTACAAAGTCAATATGTTTCTAAAAATCTACGTAATTTAAGATCAATTAAAAGTCCAGGTCCGGATGGCATTCCTAGCATAATTCTAAAGTACTGTTCAGATACATTAGCTATCCCTTTAACGCTATTGTTTAATTATTCCCTAAAATATAGTCATTTTCCGACCTTCTGGAAGAAATCCTATATAGTTCCTTTACACAAATCTGGTAGCTTAACTAATGTCTCGAATTATAGAGGAATTGCTAAATTAAGTGCAATTCCAAAATTATTCGAAAAACTGATTACTAATGTAATTTCTCATAAAGTTCAGCCAATCTTAAGCCCATATCAACATGGTTTTCGTAGTGGCCTCTCAACCATTACCAATCTTATTCAATTTTCCTCAACCGTCATAAAAGGTTTTATTCAGCGTAATCAAACCGACACGATTTACACTGACTTCAGTAAAGCTTTTGACAGGGTTAACCATGAACTTTTAATATATAAATTAAATCAAATTGGTTTCAGTATAAATTTAGTTAAATGGATATCATCTTATTTGAGAAATAGATCACAGGTAGTTTTGTTTGATGATTGTCTCTCCAAATCCATTAATGTTCCTTCCGGTGTTCCCCAAGGAAGTCATTTAGGTCCACTCCTCTTTCTTCTATTTATAAATGATTTACCAAATGCAATAATCCACTCCAAATTGCTAATGTATGCTGACGATGTCAAGTTGTTTATCACCCATAACTCCATGAAGCAAGCTGATTTACTTCAAAATGATTTAAATAACCTTTTTCAATGGTGCGAATTAAACTGTATGGATTTAAACCTAAACAAATGTAAGCATATGTGTTTTTCCAGATCTTCTACTTTAACAAGGCAATACAATATAAATGGTACTGTTTTATCAACTGTCGATTCATTTGTTGATCTTGGTATTTTAATGGATCCAAAATTAAATTTTAATAATCATGTTATTTCTATGGTAAACAAAGCCCACGGTGTCTTAGGATTTATAAAACGATGGGCTAAAGAATTCTCTGATCCCTACATTACAAAACAACTTTTTACATCTCTTGTGCGACCCATATTAGAATATGGTTCTGTTGTATGGGATCCCCAATATACAATTTATTCCGATAAAATTGAATCAGTGCAGAAACAATTTCTAATTTTTGCGCTGAGAGGTTTACATTGGAATAGTGACTTTGTGTTGCCTTCTTACACTAGCAGGTTAAAATTAATTCGATTGCCAACATTAAAAAGTAGACGTATTATGTTGAACACTATGATAGTAATTAAAATACTAAGCGGTAATATACCCTCGGACTTCCTAATTTCATCCATTAGAATAAATGTTCCTTTTCGATCAAGTAGATATTATCAACCATTATACGTAGATTTTCATCGCACAAATTATTCTATGGGAGATCCACTTAGTAAAATGTGTATTGATTTCAATTCTGTGTATTCTAAAGTAGACTTTTGCATGAATATAGACCTAATAAAATCTAATATAATCATATTTTTAAATGAATAATACAACTTAATAACAAACTGGCTGTTGAAGTAGATTTCTGTAGCTGGTTTTCTATCCCTTCTCATATTCCATCATAATGCGGATTATGATGCGTACGCGATCCCTACGAAAGGGGAGGTCGCCCCCTCGGTCGGCAGGGGTGGGAATGTGAGGCGTGGGAACGTACGAAAAAAAAAAACCTATTCTTCTATTTTAGCCGAATTTCACTTGTGTAAAAGTATACACCTTGCGGATTATAACAATACCCTTCAAATAAATCGTGGGGTTCTATATTACTACTTCTACTTTGACACAAAGACTGTGAAATTAGTGGTTTAGTAGAAAAAAACTAAAAAAAAAACTGAGTTATCTCATCCATTTTTTATGTTAAAGTAGTAGACACAGGTTCCAGGAAAATTAACTTTGGAGGTCAATATCAAGAAGGTTAAAAAGGGCAATATCAGCTGTGTTAAAAACTTAGCAATATTGCCAAACTTCTGGCCAATCCTTGAAAACTTTCGAACTCCATTCTTTGGAAATTATACTGTTTACGACCTAAATGGCATAAAGGGGGTGTTAATGGAACTGACAGAATTTTTAGGAGTATAGGGAAACCGATAAACTGTTTTCTTTTCTAGCTACGGGCATGTGGCATACATAGATTTACCCCAATACCATTGTTATTGGCACAACTGGACAGACGCTGATTTGAAGGGTATATCGTCCATAACAGCATTCCAATTAACAGCAGTACATTGGTACCATGGGTAAATACCCGAGCATTTACCCAAATATTGGGTATTAACTGGCGATCCACTTGACGCAGTCTGCCAAAATTTGGCTCACATGTTTTTAAAATCAATACGAATAGTAACTCCCGATTTAAGGTAATTTAAATCTATTAGCCACATTTTACAATTAAATTGGTTGTAATTTGACACAGAGAGTTCTCAATTTGGCACCAAACATCCATGCAAAAATATATCGATAGCCCCATAACAAGCCACAATATGAATAAATTTTAATTTATACAAGGAAAAACAAATGTAGTCATCCAATAGATATAATGAATAAATGAGATAAACTGCATCCTCTTGTAGAAATCATGGTTGAATCCAGTACCTTCATCCATAGGAAGATAAATTTAAGTTATCAAACATTCTGCAAATTATTTTTTCTTTAGCAATATCCACTTTCATAAACTATTCATTTTAATATTATATTTTACAGGAAAATGTGTTGATTATAACTTACCCTTGAATCGTTTAACATCAATAAAACCCAGCTGTGGAAAACTGATACAGGTAGCAATGCCAAACGTATGTCACGCAGCGCATGGAACGGAATATTCAATTCATGGACAATACCATTGGGATTGTTCTGATTGGGCCAGAAATAGTCAAAATCCATTACCCGATATTACAGAAGTACCTGGAGCAGAAATTATGGATTCATCTAGTTTTCATAGTAACGAAAGCAATGAATCAAGACCAAGAAATTACACACGTAAGTAGCTTTTGTAAATTAAATATGTATTATATACACATGTATGTATAATTGTACAGTGGCGTTCACGTAATTAAAACATTTACTGTGGTAAAATTTTGTTGATATTTTTAATTTTTTTAATTCAGAACACTTATATATACTGCAGAGATTTAAGAGATTTTGTGTGAAAATAGAAAATTGCATCAAAAATACTACTGTGTGACAGAAACTTGTACTGACCTTTATCTCTGTTCATTCTGTTGTGACTGATATATTTTTTGATTAAATATATTCTGTATTACCCGAACAATCGATTTGATATAATAAATGCCAATATTATTCGATATTTCCTGACATACTGCAAATATATTTCGTACTTCTTCAATAAAGTCTTTCGAAAGCGAATCCCTTCTTTAGGTAAATTCCCATGTTTTGAGTTTTTAATTCAAATATTTATTTTAATAATTATTTATTATTTTCTACTAATTCCATCAATTCGGACATTTATTTTCTATGTGACTTTCCGAATGTTAGGTGTACTGTACAAATTCTTGCCAATTTTGATAAATTTAACCCTTTTCGGTATTTTTGGGTTCTTGAGCGCGATTTTAAACCGAATTCGCTGAAATTTGGTACATTGGGTTCTTATTGGGTACTAAATGTCTCCACTTTTCCACTTTTTCTGGTAGCCCCCATATAACGGTACCTCCTAATTGTAAGTATTTTGGGGGTTTTGATCGCATTTTTCCGCCGAATTAGCTGTAATTTAGTATTTTGTGTTCTTAATGGGTACCAAATCTCTCCACAAAAAATTATGAATATAGGTCCATTTTTTCGGATAGCCCCCTATATAAAGGTACCCCCAATTTCCGGTATTTTGGGGTTCTTGAGCACGTTTTTCAACCGAATTTGCTGCAATTTGGTATTTTTTAGTCGTAAATGGTAACAAATCCCCCCACCAAAAAATATTAATATTCGCCCCCTTTTTGAAGAATTAGAAGAATTAGGACATAAGGTTCGATAATGAACTATAAACTGCATTTAGGCCTAGTCCCTGTGTGGGAGGTACTAGAAGGAGTGGACCGATATTCCTTATCTTCAAACTTGAACTAAGTTTGGAAGAAATAATAAGATGGACAAAATTTGGATGAAATTAAAATTTTTTGAAACGGATTTGGTCCAAAGAAACATGGGGTCTAGAACCAATATTTCGATGATGCACATTTTCATCGTGTCAAAGTGTATACACCCTCATTAGCCATAAGGCTGAGGGTACAATTATCCATTAAAAAATTTTGAAATTTGTATTATGGTTACCAAATGGGTTTGTAGAAATGTCGGTAAAGGTCCACTTTTTGGTATTTTCCCTATATTTTCATTTCAAGTACCTGTAAGTATATCTATGGTGGAGGGCATCCAAAGTTCGCCCCGGCCGAACTTAAGGCTTTTTCACTTGTTTATTTTTAATCTTTATGTGTACATGATTTTATCGGTGCTTTGTTTACTTAATTTAATAAATTTAAGGAGTATTTTTTTAAATGTTTAAAAAATGCACTAAAGTAAAAAAAAAGTATATGTTTTAATTATGTGGCCACTTCAAAGTTAATGTTTTTTTTGCAAAATTGCATTCAATAATTTTCTATTTTCACGCTAAATCTCTTAAGTACAGTAATTCTAAGTGTTCTGAATCGAGGGCTGATCCAATTTTTTACCACAGTAGATGTTTTAATTACGTGTTATCTCTGGCTTAACGTGAAAAGGCAATAAGTTAACTTATTTTAGAAATTTAGATTTTGATGTTCAATAAGTAAAAATACATAGATTAAAAAAAACTAAAAAAAACTTTATTTCATGTAAAATTACAAATTATGACATACATCTACAGGCCTTATTCATTTTTTTATACCCTCCATCATTAAATTTTTAATTTGTAAACACATCGAATATCTCAGTACTTATTCAACAGATATAAACAGTTGTATTAGTATTAGTTAAACATTTTTACAGTTTTTTTTAAAGTCAAATTCACCGAATGTGCCCCTACCCGAATGCCCCTACCATATTAAAATATTATTTTTAAAGACAAACTCAAAAAAATTAATGAAATAATATTGCACTATCTGTATATGGCCGAATGTGCCCCACTTCAAAATGCCGAATCTACCCCGAAGGTACTTTTTATTTCATTTATTTCTATCAATCTTCTAAAAACATATTTTTAATTATTTTTATAAGAGTGCACGTTGTAATTAACTACTTTTTAATAATACTGCATTAAAAATTGCCAATACGGGACCATCGGAGCGACTCGTCGAAGTCAGCAGCCACCTTAGTTTTCCTTTGGTATACAGCGACTAAAACAATGATAAAAAATTATTTATATAGAAATCAAGAAACAGCTTGGTGTTCGTATCTAGTTACCACCGTCATCTCTCCAACCAGCTTCTCACGTTGGAACCTCTACCTGTACCTTTGTCTGTGGGCTTCTTTTTCTAGTCTGAACCATTGGCAAAAGTCTTCATCAGCTTTTCGGTCATACAATTTCCGACTGTCTTCTCCGCATCTTTGGCCGGTAGCATAAGCACCATCTAACGTTGGTGGCTTATTATACGTGGCTGCTGTATCCAACTTCCCGGACGTATTTCCACAATTTATATCAATGCCCATATCTCTCGGTTATACCTTGCTGGCCGAAAAATCCATGATCGTTGCCGTCTGCTTATCGGCCCAATCATCTTTTGTTGTTGTTTCATCGCCATTATCCACCGGGTTCATCCTCCTGGGAATCTTTTGTCCTCTACGCTATTTCACATTGATTAAAGACAAAATTATAGAAGTAATGGTACAAAAATATGAAGTCGCGCGCCTATTGATTCGAATTTTGGTCCTTGCAGTCGTTCACTAAATACTTTAAGAAATCCACATAATTTTGACTTATATAGTCTCAGAGCACAAAGCAAGAATTTTTAAGTCCTACTCAGTATCATAAATATTTGTCAGACTGTAAATGTTTTCTTCTCCAGGCTCAAATAGATTAATTGACATTATTCTTCAGAAACTATTATTTCAGAAATATATTGTTATTTTTTCAACATATTTTTGGAGTCCTGAGTTGAAGAGCATTTTTCCTTACAATCTTAGATGTGTGCTCTAAGCTTATAGTCTCTCTATATGCTCATTCTGTTGTGACTCATATTTTTTCTGTGGTAAAAACTATTTTCTATTACTCAAAGCATCGCATTTTAGGGAAATACTCCCTAAAATCGAGCAAAACTCAAAAAATTCAAAACACGTAACTTTATTATTTTCCCCTTTCACTACAATAATTACAAACTGTCTGCGAATAATCAATCCCGCGAATCAGACAATTGTTCTTACCGGTACTGAATGTTAGAAAGTACATTTTTTGGAACTGTGAAAATAGATAAAAAGGAAAGAAACATAGTTTTAACGAAAACTTATATTTTCAAAATTATGTTTTATTATATTTTTTGAGGAATTTGAACCATTTAATAGCGCTGGAACATCTTTGTCATGAATATTTTTTATAATTTATAAGATAACTTGGATGATCACAATGGACCGGAAGTTCTCAGAGTGCTGCAGCCACATTAGTGACTGCAGATCCCCAAACCTAACATAAGATAACTTAAATTTTAATTTGTTGCCAACGTTTGCCAATAGTTGTTTTATGCGCTGTTGTTTTATGCGCTAAACCCTAGAGCATCCGATTCAATAAGAAACATACAAATATGTTTTCGATACTCATACATTTAATTGTAATATATTAAAAAACAAAAAACAAAATTGAGTTAAGGCTATATTGGGAATATATATTAATGTGAATCGATTTTTCTCAAATGTGTATCAGGCGTATGCTTATTGAAATCTGCCCAAATTGTCACCTTTTTTTATATGAAGTTAACCCTAGAACCAAAAATATTACTTACTTCCTTAGCTGGCTTATGACAGAACGGTTGTTCCATAAGCCGAGCTTAAAAAACATTTCCAGGCGCGTCGGTCTTGTGAGCATCCATCTCATCCAATTTGAAAGACATTGGATGGCCTTGCTTTTCAGTTGTTTACTCAGACCATAGTAGCATAGATACCGAGGTATATAAAATCGTTCACTACCTCGAAGCTGTAGAACCAAAAATATGGTGTATGCAAAATTGTATGTCAATGCGTAAAAATGCGATTTTTATGAATTATAATCTATCGGAACGTTTCGCAAATTCAAATCTATATAACAATGAACACTACATACTGGCTTTAAAAAGTGGTAATACCGACGGATACGGAACACGTTGAGTTCGGCCGGGCCGAACTTTGGATACCCTCCACCATAGGAAGAAGGGGGCAACTATTAATAATTTTTGGTAGGAAGACTTGTTACCATATGCGACTACAAAATACCAAATTTTAGTGAATTCGGTTGAAAAACGCTCTCAAGAACCCCAGAATACCGAAAATTGTGGTTGCCCTTATATGAAAGCTACATGAAAGAATGAACCTATATTTATAATTTTTATTGGTACCCAATAAGAACCCATTTCAGCGAATTCGGTTCAAAAACCCGCTTAAACCCACCCCCCATAGTACCGTAAATTGGGGGTACCGTCATATGGAGGCTACCAGAAAAAGTGGACCAATATTTATAATTTGTAATGCGGACATTTGGGATCCAAAAATAACCCAATGTTCCAAATTTCAGAGACCAAATTTTTGGCGATCTATCACAATTCCTTTAGAAAATAGCGTGATTATAACAGACGGACGGACATGAGGTCGAAAAAAAATTCACAGACCTCAAGCCGAAAGAAACGAATATAAACAAGCGAAATAGCGTTAAGTTCGGCCGGGCCGAACTTTGGATACCCTCCACCATAGATATACTGACAGGTACTAGAAATGAAAATATAGGGAACATACCAAAAAGTGGACCTATACCAACATTTCTAAAAACGGATTATGTAAACCTTAATACAAATTTCAGAAATTTATTAATGGATAATTAT